AGGCAGGGAGGAGATGTGGGTGCCCTGAGGACACGAGACATAGAGGTTTTTAGTTTTAGTAGAGGTTTTTAGTTTTAGTAGAGGTTTTTAGTTTTAGTGAGAGTTTTTAGTTTTAGTAAGAGTTTTTAGTTTTAGTAGAGGTTTTTAGTTTTAGTTGAGAGTTTTTAGTTTTAGTAGAGGTTTATAGTTTTAGTGAGAGTTTTTAGTTTTAGTAAGAGTTTTTAGTTTTAGTAGAGGTTTTTAGTTTTAGTGAGAGTTTTTAGTTTTAGTAAGAGTTTTTAGTTTCAGTAAAAGTTTTTAGTTTTAGTAGAGGTTTTTAGTTTTAGTAAGAGTTTTTAGTTTTAATAGAGGTTTTTCGGCGCTCGCAACTGCATACGGTCATATGAGCGCCAGAAGTTAGAGGTGTTACAAGAGAGTAACAAACACAAAAAAGAAGGAGGAAAGACCAGGACGATAGATGTTTGGTAGGAAAGAAGGAGCAAACCACACCAGAGCACCCGCCAACCACCCACTTAGTAGAGGTTTTTCGGCGCTTGCAACTGCATGAGAACCAAAGGGTGGATGTCCACAAAGAACAGAAGTTCTCACAGGGAATCAGACTTACTCTGCTCACCTTTCTAGCTTCAACAGCACAAAGTCTTCTTCGACTATCAAGACACCTCGGAAATAGTGGGTCATTAGAGTGTGGCAAACATACAAAAGAAGTAGAGGAAAAAAATGACGATAGTAAGGAATAGGAAAGAAAAAGCAGCAGTTCCCTGTTGCAGTTCAGGCAGTTATGAGCATGACATTGATGAATCAGCCCATTTACAATTACAATTCTACTGTGCATAAGAACTCAAGATGCTAATGTTCCCCCTTTGGGAATGGGCTAAAGACACTTCAGTCAGTAGCATGGCCCCAGGGGGTATTTTAGGGAGGCGAAGAGACATGAGTATAGAAAAAGCAAGACACAGCAGCCTAGCAGAAAAGCTAGACGGTATATTAGAGGAAACGGACAAGATCTATTTACAGAAAGACCACCAAGATGTGAAAGTGCACTGGGTAGAATCACTTCAAAATTACTGATGAGAATTATGATAATAAAACAATAGATATTTTATTATAATAAGTAGTTTTTTTCTACAAACCCATTAAGATTTTTTAAAAGTTCATCTTTCTTAGGCAGTAATGACCAAACAATCAACAACACTGTAAATAATAATAATATTGTAAAGTAAAAGTCATGACAGACTAACATTAGTTCTACTCTTGGTAATACATTTCAAACAAAGCCAATTTCACAATTAATTTTAGTAATAACTGCACCAGTCCCACAAGTCAACAGAAATATCACTTGACCCTTGCAGATTCCATAACAAACATGAAAGGTGGGTGGTTGGCAGGTGGTCTGGTGTGGTTTGCTCCTCCTATCCTACCAAACACTTATCTTCCATATCTCTCCTCCTTCTTTTGGGGGTTTGTAACTCTCTACTCTCTTGTAACACCTCCAATCTCCACCATTTATGTGACCTTATTGTGTCGCAAGTGCTGTAAAACTCTTACTACAACAAAAATGAAAGACTCCTAGCACACAGAAGTGTTCAGTCATCTCACCCTTTGCTCATACTGTGGCAGGCACAGACCGTGCTCTCTGAGGTTCAGGTTCTCAAAGTTGTTAAGCAAATCTTCCTCCAATTCGCTGTCGACAGAAACATATAAGAGTAAGAAGAATCCTGGTCCCTCTATGCCAGGAGTTGGGAACGAGGCTTGTGTCCTCTACCCCCAAAGGCTGTCAAACAAAAAATAAAATACGCTTAACACTGAGACTAACATGCACATCCTTTCCAATATTACAGCATCATCATCGTTATCATCATCATCATCACCACCATCTTCATAATCATCATCAGTGATTAAACAATACCCCTTTTTCTTCTTTTGTCTTTTTGGGGTTTTTTCTTGAAACATAACAAATTGCACAACGTCAACACATTTTTACGTAACCTACAAATATCGACATCAAAATCAGGATACCGGACCAAAAAACAAAAAGTAAGAACAATCGGGCAGAGCAAGGCCAGGCTCCAATTAAGGGGATCCACTGGTCAGATCAGTAAAAATTTTGAAAAAAATATCAGTTTTCGGATTTGGGAGTATCTTAATAGATATCAATATCAAGGATCCATCTTTAGAAGCCTAATTCCTTATCAAACTTAGAAATAGCTGGAAAATGCATTTGAGAAAGGTAGCAATGTAGGAAAATCTTCACCAAAAATTATCTCTCTTTGCAGTTTATTCAGAATTGTTTATCTGACCAGGTTGCAAAACTATTTTGAGTAGATCTCAGAAAGTTACTGTCAGAATTGTTTCAAATTTGCACACAATCTTTTATACACATTTCTCTATAACCTTACAGTAGCATTTTTCTTTTTATGGTACACCTTTGAAATTTTAGGCCTTTTTTATTTTACAAAATCTGAAAATATTGGAGACCTGAATGTAGTGCATAACAAGGACTGTAAGGCTCACAAGTCAGTACAAAAATTTCAAATTTGGCTCTGTAAGGTTGTTCTACCTACCAACAGTAATCGCCATGCCAAATATTAGGCTTCTATCTTGAAGCATGTTGATGATTGACAAAATATAAAATTGGTTTTAAAAATGCTGAATCAATCCTATATTTTTGATGGCTCGAGATGATTATGGCTAAAATCTTGAATTTTTTGCTTGGTAACCTTTTTTTGTACTATGTCACCCCCTTTGATGCAGAAAAGCAAACATTAGACCAAAAAGTATAGCATTTGGGTGTTGACCATAGCTACACCCCCTTAAATAAAATCCACCCTTCTTTCCCCAAAAGAAAAGTAAAGAGGGATGGGAAGAGCATCGGCAGTTTATACATATTTTCAATCATGATCCCAAAAAAACTAAAAACAGTGGGATTTCACCAATATGTATCTCTGAAAATTTCGCTAGACATGCCATTACAGCACATAAAAATAACTTCCAACAAGCATCAAGGCCTTCTTTTTCCACAAAAATTATCCTCAGTTTTACTATTGATATACAAAGTTGGTCCCCTTCTCTCGTTGCCTATGCATTGCGAACAGTCCCTTCATACTACACTCCAAACACAGTACATCTGCCAGTGACCGCATCGCCTTCAGAAAAGTTACCAATCCAGGTTCAGTTTGCTAGAAGCCAGACATAGCAGGCAAAGTTGGCAGGCAGAGCAATCCTTTTATAAGGAATATACAGTGTTCATAACAGAAAAATGGCAAGCTTTCGATGAACAAGCTTTCCATTGCTGCTAGTATCTTGCAAAGTCTGAAAACTTGGGACCTTAATCAGTTTTAATGAATTCAATAATTGTTCAAATTCTTACCTTCCATCCATAGAACTTTCACTGTCTTGTCGACCTGAAAATTAATCGTGGAAAAAAAATCAGAAACAATACCACTAGACTCAGAGAAAACGCTCTACACATATATGTGATCAGGTGTTCTATTGTCTCTACGCCTTTCTTGTTTATATTTCTTGTATTTTTCTATTGGATCTGATTACAGATCTTTCACAACCTACTACTTTGGACACTTCTCTTTTTTCGTTTTCCTCTCTGCCCATGAGATTCTGAGTATTCTCCTAAACTGTCACATTCCGGCTGCTTCCATTCCTTTCTATGTGTCCTTGTTTCTAGTTCAGCTCTCACATCCTTACAAAAGGATACAAATACAATAAACATAAACTAAAAAAGTCCAGTTAGCAATTATAAATCATGAATGTACAAATTCCATTCATTGATAAAAATTATAATAAAAAATAAAGTTTCTGAACGAGTCTTTAACTCTTTACTCTCGGCAAGCCACTCCCTGCAACTCGCGCTCTGAACCGCTGTGCCGGTAAATTGCTGACAGCGGCTCGGACACATTCCTTTATGACAACTCCCACGCCAAATTACTTTTCAGCAATGGCCAAAGACAGGTCTCTTTAACTAGCAATGACAATGAAAAATTAAATTTTCATCCAAATTGCTTAAAAATGGACTTAAATGAAAATAGAGTAAATTCTAAGAACTATGGTTTTTAAAAATTAAAAATCCATTGATAAATAAAAAAGTTATTGGGATTTTTGTTTGCAAAATGTTGGAGGACCTTCATATAGGAAAAAATCGCCAAAATGTGGGACATGTTTTGATGTATTTTGAGGAAAAACTGTTCATAAGTCAGTAATGAATTGGAGCATATGAATGAAACTTGGCATCTCCATGTGATTTTTAGTGCCGAATCTAGTTCTGCTATCACTTTTTTGATGTCTTCATTACTTTGGATCTTAAAGACTGATATTTGCGTGAAATTTGTTGAATTGCGTGACATCGTTTTTACCGCGACGCGATCACCCCTTTTAAAACTCAGTAAAGCGCTATCGGGAAAACCCGCGATGTAGTCATCGGTGACCCATTTGGTTATAGGCAGCCAATCACATGCCGCCTAGCGATCACGCGCCTCTTGCGTGCCGGCACCTCGCATTTGGAATGCACTATCAAGTTTCTAGATCTAGGGTTTTATCAATGGATGGGTGGTAATTTTAAGTTGGTACGGAAAATCTACTAAACGCAGAGATCTGAAATTTTACAGCAATAAAGAAGACATGTGGGGCGCTTGTGTGGTCGGCGATCAACCCCCAGCTCCGCTTAGTTTTCGAACCGCAGAGGAAATTCGCACAAACACGGCAATATCTCCGGTTCTAGTAATCGTTCGGGATTGTACGCTGGCATGTCCTTAGTTTAACCTTTCCTCTGGTTGGTTGCAGAGTTTCATTTATTTTCGTCCAGGAGTTTTCCCGTAACTAAACTTAGAAGAGAGTCACTTCTGATTCCGAGCGGCCCAAAAAATACCCTTCGCGCGGAGGCCGATTTCCGGCACAAGGCGCAGCGGGCGATTGGCATTGCTACTTTAACCGGGAGTTCATTCATTAGAAGAAGAGCTATCAAAATAGGGTCACTTGTACTGCTTTAATAACCAATTTATAGACACGCATGTCACTTTTAAATTTCGTACCAAAAGAGAGCCTTGGCATTGTGGGTTTACCCCGACCCCCTTGAAGATAAAAGGAGTTAAGAATTGTTTTGGGCAGAATTGCCTAATTACGATCACTGTGCACTTACCCCTGTCCCGTGGACTTCGAGTGAGGAAAGAGCCGAGTTTCGACTCAATGTCAGGCACCAGCTGAAGTGCTTTCTTGTAGTAATAAATAGCTGGAGGAGGAAAATCAATAAATAAAATTACATCCTATGCACTTTTTATTTTAACTAAGCAACAAGTGTGTGTTTGTTAGTGTGTATAAGTACTTTATGGTTGTACTCTTTGAAGTGTACACTGAAACATCTATATCATGTTTGAGGAGAGAGAGACTCTGACTATTCAAGCCTTTATGGAATATGGAGCACCGATCAGGAACTCTTCTCGAGATACCTTTCTCATAGCACACCAATAAGTTGACATCAAAGTGAAAAAGTCTAATAACACCATATGGTAAAGAGCTTATATCATCAATTAGCAATGACGTTTCGTTCTTTCAAACACGTGCTTGCCTTCATGCCGTTCTTAATACACTTGTCAATGTCATGACTAATATGAACATTTTCATGAATGCCATCATGTCAACAACCATTATAACTAACTTTTACATTTTACAGACTGAAAGTTAAACTGAAAAAAAAAAAATGCAGCAACAACAACTGGAAACAGGTAAAAGAATTGTTTTAAATGTCCACACACTTGAAAAACCACGCCATCTTAAAACAAAATTTTTATGGATACAACAAGCACTTATTAGACCACGCGAGACACACTTTTTCAATGGCCCCCTTTTTTTAAAAATCTCTTACAAAAACGCACAGCACAGACACACAAACTCAAAAGAATAGGAAACAAACACAGCAAATTTATATTTCCCCATCAAAAATAATAATTGTTGGGGGTTTAAGTTACAAAATAAAGCTAAACAAGACTAGCTCACAGCCAGCCCAGTTGGCCAGCCAAAAGGTTACCTTCAGAGAGCATTCCATCATCTTCTGCAGTCATGCCTTGAAAGAAATAAGCTCTCGCCTGTCCAAACAACAACAAAAAATATCGGTACAGTCAAGACAACAGTCAGAGAAAACGATCATCTTGCTCGACGTTCTCAGATATTTGGCCCTATTACTTGAATTTGATTTTTAAGTCAAAAGATTAAAAAGTAAGCTGCTGTGAGACAGCTGTTAGGAACTTAACACAACATATGGAAGTTGGCAGCTGGAATCTGCATGAGTTTCAAATGAGAGTGTAAGGACCGAACGTAGACGCAGAAGGAGAATTAACGAAAAGAGGAAAAGAAGGAAAAACTGATACCCCTAAAAATGCATATTTCTGCAAACCCTAGGACTATTACTGTCATGGTATTCGATACTCATACTCGAATATAGAGAGGGTGTACGATACGAAAATAAACACTTCCCTTCGCTATGAAACCAATATAAATATGGCTGAATGTTCGTTATCGTCTTGTGCTCGTCTGACATAGATCAAACTTATAAAAATATTTAGAATTCATAACATCACAACATGGCGTCAGAAGTGAATCCATACATCTTCTCTATATTCAGGCATAAGTATCGAATATCATGACAATTACCACCACTGATTAATTGTAGTCTGCAAAAATTCCATCAAAAGCAGGGGCACTACAACAATCATCTCCCAGAAGCCACCATGACTCGGTTCACCGTAACAGCATCAGTGGTGTAGCAGGAAGGCTTTCACTTCCACACACACAGGATGTGAGTTTGATTCCGAAATGTGGAAGTTTTTTACTGAGCACCTTCATGCGAGATGAAAATATGTCTCCACAAAACCCGTAACATCACAAGACGAGACAGGCAGAGAAATGAAAAAGTAAGAGCAGCTTCTAGCACTGAGTCCTGCCTGCATTTCATAAAAAGACAGAGAATAGAGTGTGTTTGGCCACCTGTTACGTATGTCATCTAGCCAGCCAGCCAGCCCCGAGAGCCTACAACACCAAGTACTCAGGCTATAAAGGAAGAGGAAGGCCAAGCAAAAGGTGAATTTAGGGCATCAAGGAAACCCTGAGAAATCATAACATCCCAATTGAAAGAGTTGCAGAGCGGGCCTTCCATAGAAAACTGCATCCCCCCTCGAGGCTAAACGGCAACAGAGGATGAAAAAGTAAAAGTAAAGGCACCTTCATCTGTCAACTGAGATCCTGCACCCTCGTCAGGCCAAGCTGGTCCTGGGTAGGCAGGGTTCAAAGCAGCCTGCCTCCTATACTACAATCTAAACTGGGTCCAAGGGGATTTAAATCAACTATGCTTATATAGTTGATTAATCTTCTGAAAATGCAAGAGGCCGGATCACTTGAGAATGCACCAAACTGTTGCATGCAAAGTCTCAACAACTTAAATACATTGGACATAATTTAGAGTTAACTTCTATTTTTAAAAAGCATCTTATTAAGAAATTGTGTAAAATGATACAAAGCATGAGCAGTAAGTCAGGTGTGGGTTGAGGATTCACATTTGTTTTTAACCTGTGCAGCTGTGAGCCTATAATGAACCCATTTTTTAAAAGTGGAATCAGAAACCAGTGACTCAATTCTGGAGTATTTTATAGCAGAACATAACTATCAAAACTTTTAATTTTCTAAATTCATAAGTTCACAATCATGTAAAATTCGGCTCCGTCAAGCTCTTAAGAATAATGAGTTCTATCTTCGCTAGAATTTTGAAGTCTGAAAAATGTGTGTGTTTTGGGGGGTTTTTTTACTTTAAAAAAGTCACACAAAGATCAGGCCACCAGAATTATAATATAACATGAAGATAACTACAAATGACCTTTGACCCCTTCCCTACTCTACCTGATTCTCCACTACGTTCACGGCTGCTTCTGACTTGTGACCCCCCGGGGAGTCCTCTCTGCTAGCCCGGGGGCTCTGACCTCGGCTGTTGGGCTTCTTCTGGAGCTCGTCCTGCCACTGTTGCCGAAACATATCCAGCTGGGGGGAGAACAACGAATCATGCTCCAGGAATACATTTAGTCTATAAAGTCTTAGTTTAGTTTTAATAGAGGTTTTACGACGCTCGCAATTGCATAAGGTCATATGAGCACAAAGGGGTGGATGTCAACAGAAAAGTCCTAACTGGAAATCAGGTTTACTCTGCTCACCTCTCTAGCTTCGACAGCACAAAGTCTGCTTCGACTATCAAGGCACCCCGGAAATTGCAGGTCACAAGAGTGTGACAAACATACTAAAGAAGTAGAGGGAAAAAGGACGATAGTAAGGATTAGGGCAGAAAAAGCAGCAGATCCCTGTTGCAGTTCAGGCACCGTTATGAGCATGGCATTGATGAATCAGCCTATTTAAAAACTGTACATAAGAACACGTTAATGCCCCTCCTTTGCGAATGGTCCAAAGACACTTTTCAGTCAGTAGCACCGCCCCGTGGGGTAGTCTGTAAAGTCTACAGCAATATTCTCAAAGCAAAAAAAGTGTCCTACTCCTACAACCATCAACCAGCTCTTAAAATTAAACACACCCTCCTGTAACAACAGTCAAAGTTAGTACAGTAATCTTCTCTTGCAAGTTTGAGACAAGTATTATGTTGCGAGAGGGGGTGGGGGGAACATTTCGTCTTACACATCACATAAAAGTCAATACAAAGAAAAGTCATAACTGTATTAAAACCTAGAAGAAGAATCTACCAGAATTTCAAATCCACATGAAAAGGGGCAACTGTTCTATGTAAACTTCTCATCAAAACTCAATCTGCCGCCATAATTACGAGGAGTGAGGAAATGTTGGTTACCTGATCATTCACGATTTGCGGGCCGCCGTTACTGCCAGAACTAAGAGGAGAACTGCCATCCTCTTCGCCTAGAGCTACATTTTCATCTGCATTTATCTCCTCATTCTCCACTGCCTCACCCAACAAAGGAACAACTCTTGGCTCATCCTCGACCTCAGCGTCTGCAGCTGCTGCTGGATCTTGCCTGAAAGTTTGGTTTTCAGGTTGATTTGAATCCTGCAAAAAGAGGAAAAAACATCATCACTGTTACGTTCTGGCTATGTTTACACTTAATTACGAAACGTGCACACAAACTAACACAAGATGACCTTTGTGAGAATGGGTAGTAACTGAAGTGTTTATTTATTAACAAATGGGTCACGTTACAACACAGATGTGTTACAACACAGTTAGCCAATTCATTACCTAGCTCTTAATGTACACACATGACAATCACCTTCCCGAACTTGAGGCTGAGGAAATACTACAGTGAAATCCGCTCAAACATGAAAACAGTGGTAAACCGAAAGAAAATAAAATCCCTCAGTTTTGTTTTCATTTTCTAGCAACCTCTCAACACTGAAAACAGCTAACCCAAAGAAATTCAGGCAGATTTCGGCAAGGTACTTTTTGAATGTTGATATCTAATGCGAAGTGACTATTCGGACTCGTGCCCAAATATGAAAAAATGTTATTCGGACTCTGATTCTTGTCTGATTCTTGTCCAGCATGACATCACTTCTGACTTACGACTTCCTGTGACTCGTGACTCCGGCTTCCTGTCCTGCCTCACTCGTGACTCGCCTCAGGCTGGGTAGAGACCGGGATCACTTTGGGCAAAATGGCGTTTTGTGCAGGAGCCGAATTTTTATCTTACGATGAATTTGAGGCCGGCCTGAAAAGTTATAGCGCTTCTAATAAATGTTTATTTGTCAAGAAGTCACCAAAAGCAATTAAAGATGGCTCCATAGCGTGTCGGGGTCGGAAGGGCGGCCTGCACACGTGTCGCTGTGTGTGCGTGTCGGGGAGGGGGGGGCACTATCGGTCCGGGCGTTGAACGTCGCATACGCGTCTGTCTTTTATCCCCCGGCAACTGATCATTATTACAATAATAAGCTAGTCTTGGCATTCGGACGTAATGAATTGTGCGCTGGTCTATGGAATCAAAAGTTGCCGTATGCTCAGCTCTACACAGCAAAACAAATTTTTCTTGGTAAACAATCGAGATAACACAGGCTTGTGTATTTGAACGAATCGATCTTTTTTTTTTTTTGCACAGCTCATAATGTGTAGGTGACAGGTGGTCTGCTAATCTTCAATTTTACCCTTTTCTACAACAAAGAAAGTGGGAAACATGGGGGTTTGGGGGCGTATCAATGAGGCAGCGGGCATTTGATCGGCAGATAAGGTGTGGGGGAAACTAAAAAATGTCGGGAAATTGGAAGCACTGAACGTTAGATCTATAGAACGAAGACACTTCCTAGCAATGCCAATCGGGCTTTCCCGCGAGGCGAAAATTTGGTCCCCGTTTACTGGCGATTTTGCAGACCCGGCCGAAGCGTAGGTGACTAACTTTGTCAACCTCGGTCTACTCTATTTCCGAACCAATCCGAATGAAACTCGGCAACCAATCAGAAAATAGGGCAAACTAATGATATGTGGACGTTGAAGTTCGTACACATAAATTAACCTATACTTTTGGTGTCGGGAACACTTTCGTATTGTGTACACCGAAAACTATAAATAAGGAGTTTGAATTTCAACGCCGAGATGGTAATAGATCTATCTATCCTCTATAGTGTGCTCAAATTTGAACGTTCTGTGTCAAGTAGTTGTTTAGACCCGATCATAAATGCACGACCACCCCCCTATCCAAAGCGGCTTCGCACGGAGACCGGCCATTTTCCCCTCACTCTCGTGGCAAGGCCATTTTCCCCTCACTCTCGTGGCAAATGTATGTGACCTACAAATCCCCGCATGACTATTCCGGGCCCGTTCATTAGTCACTTGAAATAGGGCAATGGCGGGCGCGCGCATCCGGTTGTTTTTCTCTCTATTCCCCTGTAACATCGCAATGGGGGTATTCCGAGGCGAGGTTATCTCGTCTCGGGGTGTTCGCGTCTCAACGGGGAAAAAGAATTTTTAATTGTACGGCATGCTAGATTGAATTAACTTATCTTTTACGGTTGGCATGGTCTAAAGTCATCATAAAAAGCTTTGCAATTATTTAGTCACGCTGCCGACATATATTCTTAAAGATCCCATGTTGTGATACGATGCTATAAATAAAATGGACTCATCCCGACATTCCTTTTTCACAAAATCGTAATATGTACACCACAATTTTAATTATAACAAAATAACTACGAAATTGATAGTAAATCTGACTGCAGAAATGATTTCTACACTCAAAAACACATCGGGTAGCCAAGTTTCTCTCGAACACTCCGATTAGTTACCGAGATATCGTCGATTTTCTTACAGAATCTGCTACTGCGTGGTCCACTTTTTAGGAGTATTTTCCTATGTGGGTCATCCATATTTTGCCGACCTTTACAACCCCATAACTTTTTTATTTATGAACCAATTCTCAAAATTCAAGAAGCATAAATTCTTAGAATTGAAAATTCTTTCTTAGGTACCAAAAAAAAAGGGCTAAAGTGAAAATTCAAATTTTCATTGACTTCCTTTTTTCCAGACCCGAGTCCGAATAACATTTTTTCATATTCGGACTTGAGTCCAAATAAGAAATTTTTTTATTCAGACTCGAGTCCGAATATGAAAAAATGTTATTCGGACGAATCCAAATAACGACATATATGTTTGTTTGGATTTACGTTTTTTTTAGGCCTACTCATGATCCATCTGAAGTACATGTTTTATATATACTTTTTTGCTATAGTATTTTGCATGCTGAACAGGAATATATATGGCCTTCATTTTTTCCGCAAATCAATAGTTATTGAGTGTATTGATGTTTGAAAACAGTCTTTAGATTAGAAGTAGGACCAGTGGCGGAGTAATATTTGACTTGTTTTTAACAACATGGGGGGTTTCACTAAAAAGAATCAGGGAGGTTTCAGGGGGGGGCATGCCCCCTTGCATTTTACAATGATTTGATGTTTTGGCGATTAGGATTGACATGTTACTTGAAAACAATTGATTTGCAAGGGTTTTAGTGGCCATACGTGTTCTGCAGCAAAATTACGCCTTCTATAGCAGTTTAGCCCTCAAATCAGTGCTTCTGTGTGTGGGTGCACAAGTAAAAATTTATCAGATTTACTAAAAACTGAATTAAAAATCATCATCAGCAATAAAACTCTTGTTAACCGTCCAGCTGACAAAAATTTGACTGGCACCACTGGTCTTGCCCAGTACAAACAGCCCCTGGACGTGCCCTGGTCATTTAACTGTGCACTAGATGCACTACTAGAATCTAGATTTAGATGTGTCTGCAAGTGTGTATGTGACCCATTGTCTTTGTGAGAAGAGATGTGACTGCCGCGACACAGCCTAACATGATAAAAAGCATTCTCATGATGAGTAGGGTTTTTTTTTACAACTTTCAAAGAGAAGTGTCAACAAAGTTGATTTGAGGTGAGGACTGCTGTTGGATCAAAAGCTGCATTGACAATTAAAGCCATGTAAGATGAATGATTCTTACCATCGTTTACAAATTTTAATGCAATCTGCTACGACAGATGATCAAACGATTAATTCTCTGAAGGAAAAGCAAACAACAGATCGGGAATACATCCTTGCTCGTCTCTCTGCTGCCATTTTGTTTTCCTTCGTTTCTATTTTACACACACACTCTTGTTATTTTCCGTCAGTCCAGTGGTGCCCATGAACGACAACCACTTTCAGCTATTTTTATTTAAGAGTGGTCTTTTCTTGGCTCAGGTCTCCTGTTCGGCCTTCCTTTTTTTCTCGGTTCACCGTGGAACTGTTTAAAATTAATTTAATGTATGAATTTCTGCATTCCCGTCTCAATATTATACAACATCATTAAAATATTCAAAACATACATATGGGTGTGCACAAGCACGTGTGTCTGTGTCTGTGGGTGTGTGTGTGTGTGTGTTCGAGTGTCTTTCTATGTGTGTTTGTGTGTGTGTGTGTGTGTGTGTGTGTGTGTATGTGTGTGTGTTTATTAGTCTTTATCAGAGTTATAAAATAGCACATAGTCCAAAACAAAATAGGTCACACTTCAAAGGAATTTATTATAACTGCACACTGGAATCTAACCTTTATGTGAACGGCTGTACTTTAAACAAGTCGAGTTAATTGCATCACTATTATAACGTATGTTACGGACACCAATTAAGTAATTAAGTGACCAGACAAGAAAAACGAAAGTTTATTTTCTATTAACGCCTATGCAAACAAATAATACAATAAGAATCATCAACCCTTTGAAACTAACTTATTTTGTAGAATATTAATTTTTTTAAAGAAAACTTTTCCAAAAATATTCGCTGTGCTATATATATGGAACACCATGCAATGGAGGATCATGATGGATACCTCAGTGTGTAAATTTCTCTTTAAAAGTGAAAAAGAAATGAAACAAAAAGGCAACAAATGTGGTTTATAATGCGTAAATTTTAATTTTTCAGTAATAAATATCAGTAAAGCAACTGAATGTGTATTAAATGGGAACACCAAAACAACACGAAAGAAAAAAGAAATTACTTTTAAAATAAAACCTAAGTTATATATAGGCTGCCAGTGTTTAAATGTTTGACTTGTGGGCTACACATCAAATAATTCTCCCAAAAGATATTCCGATTTTAGTTATATTAGATATTGGGGGTCTGGACAACTTTTTTAAAATGGGGAAATGGTATGAGTTTAACGCCCCTATCAACACTATTAGGTTATTTAAGAGGCGTGACCTCCTAGTTTAAGACAACTTTCAGATGAAGCTTTTTTGCAATTTGGTAAGACAATTTGACTAAGGACGACTACAACCTCGAAAACTTTAACGATGACGACCACTTGGACCCTCCAACGACCACAATTACCCACAATGACTTCAGCCCACGATTAAAAGATTTCATGTCTTTTATTTATTTTATTTTTGTATGCATGTGTGTGTTTTTTTATGGTGTTCGCAACTGCATATGGTCATATAAGTGCGCGGAATACATTAAATATTTTCAGTTGGTAGGAAATTTTGTATTTTGCCCGGGTGGCGGACGAAGCCAAATCTTATCGATTTTGGACCACCAAGGGATCTTTAACGTGCGTAACTTGCACACGGGACCTCCAAGATTTTGCGCCCTTATTCCGAGAAGGCTATGCGTTAGATCTCACATACCATACGATCAGGGGTGTGAATGAAAGACAGTAGTAAGAAAGAGCAAAGGAATAGCAGTAGAAAGGCTGCAGAAAGAGTCAGGAGCCTGGAGGAAGGGAGGAGGTGAAGGGATGGGGGCAGAAAATGGAGACGAAACAGGCGAAGTGAAAGGAGAACATTTTAGAGAAGAATATTTTCCGTCCCTGTCCAGATTCGAACCAGGGACCTATATTGAATGAGAGGCGAACACCGTAACCTCTCGATCACATGAGGTCCCATGACGGCTTCGACCCAAACGATGACCTTAACCCACGACGACCTTGACCCATATTGACCACTATGACGGCTTAAACTCACGATGACAACAACTCATGGTGACCAACACCACAACGACTTCAACCAACAATGACCACGATCTCTTCGACCCACGATGACCACAGCCCATGATGACAACGACAACTTCCACAATAAGGACAATCTCAACGACTTCCACTCACGACCACGACCAGGACCACGACTACGGTTACTTTAACCAAAGATGACTTCAACCTTCCAAACACCACAACCCACAACAACCACAACCAACGACGACTTCGACTCTCCAACAACCACAATCCACAACGACCACAACCCACAACGACCACAACCCACAACGACCACAACCCTCCAACAACCACAACCCTCCAACGACCACAATCCACAACGACCACAACCCACAATGACCACAACCCACAACGACCACAACCCACAACGACCACAACCCACAATGACCACAACCCACAACAACCACAACCCTCCAACAACCACAACCCTCCAACGACCACAACCCACAACGACCACAGTCCACAACGACCACAACCCTCCAGAGACCACAACCACCACAACAACCACAACAACCACAACAACCACAACAACCACAACAACCACAAACCTCCAACGACCACAACCCACAACGACCACAACCCACAACAACCACAACCCTCCAACAACCACAACCCACCAACAACCACAACCCACAACGACCACAGCCCACAATGACCACAACCCTCCAGAGACTACAACCCACAACCCACAACAACCACAACGACCACAACCTTCCAACAACCACAACGACCACAACCCTCCAACAACCACAACCCTCCAACAACCACAACCC